CTCCTCCATGAATACTTGATTGTGCCATCTAGACTTTTTTTTTTTGAGTTTGTCTTTATACTAAAATTTCTTACCGTAATTACTTACACCTTAAAACTTCCTATGAAATGGAGGGTGATGTTTACAGTCTTAACATTTCTAAAGAAAACTCAGGAAATAAAACACCTTTTAAAAAAAAAAACCAACCCGAAAGTAACAACTCCTTGCTTTTTTATTAAGGCACATAACCAACATCAATTCCCTGTACAATTATCTTTTAAAGTTAGAATGACTGAGAATTTCCTAATTTGGTCAAAGATAATAGCAAAGGAATAGAACAGATTCACTTCATTTTAGTCCAAGTACAAAGAAAAGAAAAGAAAAAATCTAAACTAACAGTGTTCTAAAGACCCAAAAGAGAAATCAGGGGGAAAAAAAAAAAGCATAGCTTTTTCTTAAGAACAGCTTAAATGTGACAAAATTTGTAACTGACCAGCAATGGTCATAGTATTTTGCTGCTCAAACTATCTTGTACTCTGCACCTTTTATTCATACCTAGGCTTTCACTATACCTACACATCTGTTCTGGCCATCACAGAACTATGACTTGTTTCCTTTGTGAATCTCTTCTGTATTTTGCAGTGAAGTTTAAAAAACAATACAACACAGCTTTTCAGGAGCACACAAAGACCACAAGGTTGCCAAGGTGGGTAAAGTTAAATATTCTTATTAAAATCTGGAGATGCTGGACAAAAATGTATTTTGGACACTTTTCATGAAGCACAGATGGGCATTTCAAGACTACTACTTGATATGAATCTTCAGACTACGTATCTGAGCAGCGTATCATTCCTGGGAGAGAGGGATTACTCACTTTTTCCTGCTTACACACAATGACTCTTCCAGAATGTAGTAATTCACTCCTAGTTTTATCAATTCTCTTTTTACTTCTTTTGCAGGTTTTCGACTGTACATGGAATATACTACTTTAGTTCTGGCCCTTCAAAAAGAGAAATATAAAAGTTAGCTAGCAACATAGCATGAAAATGTAAGCTTTAACTTTAGACTGGAGAGGAAGACTTTTTATTTCAGAACACAACTAGGCTAAAACAAAGTTTAAATAAACAGTGTCATTTGCCTTCACGTTTCATGTTTTCACTAACATAATGATTCCAAGAACAACTGGAATTCAGGGCTGACCAAAAAACTTAAAGCCAGCTAATGCCAGACCCAGAACTAAGGACATATAAGGCACATAAAATGAATCTCCTTTGTTGTAGTCTAGGACCAGCCAGCAACTAAGCACCACGCAGCCGCTCGCTCGTTACCCCTACCCCTCAAGTGGGATGGGAAGGAGAAGATATAACTAAAGGCCCACAGGTCAGGACAGGGACACAGAGGGATCTCTCATCAATTATGGTCATGGGCAAAACAAACTCAACTTAAGGAAACAACAAGAAAATCAATTTCATTTGTTACCAATCAAATCAGACACGGATCATGAGAAACAAAGCCAGGTTAAAAACACACTTTCCCCCTACTCCTCCCGTCTTCCAGGGCTCCACTTTGCTCCCGATTTCCCTGCCTTTCCCTTTTAACCAGTTTTATTAAATGACCAAAAAATGATGCTACGATATTAAAATTAAAAAAAGAAATTCATGACCCTGTCAGATAAATCCATTTCAAGTTAGAAAAATATCCTGATTTTGAAAGTAATGTACAAAACTTAGTAATTCCATTACAAAAATTTCAATTTCAACTAGTCTTAATATTTCAATAGACATAATATCATGGAAAAAAAAGACAATCAATCACAGAAAGCTAATAGGAATAACTAAACTGGCTGCTTTGAGGAAAAAAAAAAAAAATCGAGTCTGTCTACAATACCAGGAGTAACTAGAACAAAGAAAGGATACAATAATACATATCAATTCCAATTTCATACTCATATTCTGATTTTTTTTGAATAGAAGTTTGAAGCCATACCTATCCTACAGTATATCCTTTCTGATGAACACAAACCCGGAGGAAATACTGCATGTGCTTTCAATCTGACTGAAATAACAAATCAAGTTCTGCGAGGTTTTAACAAATTTTACAATATAACATGATGCCATTCCTACTGTATATTACCAACATTTAGAGAATTAATAGCAAATAAAAATAAATCTTTAACTTTGAAATTTACCTTAGTCCTGCATCTTCATAGTGAGGATGATTTACAATAGGACGAAGCGTAGACAATTTAACACTTGCCATTGTAGGCATTGCTCCTGCAAAAACTGCATCTGGAAAACAGAATGAAAGGCATGCTTGAAATAAGGAATCAAGCAGCAAAAGCAGGGAAGCATTCTTCAAATATCTAAACAGTAATCCCACAGGAAGACATAAAGAGGGTAAGGTACTCTCTTTGGAAAGGCCTTACATGGCACCAACGGGAGATGCACAAAATCTCTTTTTTTTTTAAAAAAAAGTCACCTTGAACTCAATATAAGTCATTAGAGAAATAAACATTTAGGAATGAAGATTTAATACATTTTAATTTTCTTAAATGGGTAGCCTAACATATTCATTATGACAACACATTTTTATTTGGCACTTCTTACACCATTGTTAAATAACCAATAAAATCTCCGTCCACTTCAGCTTGAAAGCATTTTCCTGATTAAAAAAAAAAGAGAACTACTTTGTTTGCAGCTACTTTTCTGACACTTTTTACTCATTTTAGTAAAAGGATGAGTACAACCACAACACCCAAACTTCGAATTCTCTTCTAGCAAAATAATGATCACGGACCCACATACAGGACCACTGTCTTTTAAGAAAAAAAAATATTTTAATTGGACTTTGCAAAAACACTTTTGTTGTACAAATACCACACCAGTGGCTCGAATCTCCAGACTGGAGTCTAACAAAGCAAGTTTTTGGTGGTTTTTTTTATTTGAGATAGCTTCTACATGAACAAGTAGATAGTCCCAGGGCTAAGGGACAGTCCCAAGGCAAAGCCACGGAGAGTAGTGACACCTCTGCAGTCATTCACACCAAGTTCTACAGTTACATCTCACAGTAAATGAGGAGTATCATACATTATGGAATAGTTTACCTTGTCTGGTATTGACTTTTATCCACTCTAAAAGTTCCTCCTGTGGCAAATTGCTAAATTCTCCCATGATATTCCACTGAGTTTGAAGGTTTGCTGATCCCTCTATTGCCATCAATGCTAAAATAGCAAAGACCAATGTTTTGGGCTGGATTTTACAGAAGAGCCATCCAAACAACTGAAATGCAAGAATTTATTAATTTCTACACAACAATTCTGTAATGTTGTATGCAGAAAAATTCATTTTTATTTCTCTATAAGGAATCTAACATATATTACAATACGAAACACAATTCATTTTTATTTCTCCATAAGGAATCTAACATATATTACAATACGAAACATCTCTGCTATTGCTTGTCCACTAAACTTCAGTGAGATCTCATAAGAATTCGTGTTTACCGAACATAGGGAATTATATTCATAATTCTACAAAAAAGAAGAAAATTTACATTAATGCAGCTTTTAAAGTTGTAGTCAGATTCTGCAAGTAAAGATGATCCAATAATGTATTTTATCTCCTATTTACACAGAGTTTCTAGCTGTAGTATATGGATTAGAGACAGGTCTGCAAACTTCCAAAAACGTCTCAGAAAAGCTGCCCTTGGGGATATAAGGTTAATGTTGTTTTATATCCTGCTCTTCCCTTTCTTGAACTGAAAAAGATGGTCTTTGCATTTTTCCCTAAAGATAGTTTGCTGGAGGCTCTAAGCAAATACTCACAAACACATGAAAAGGGTAGCTAAGAAGAAAGAATTATCAAATTTGCTACATTGAAGTTTAGTTTGAGCAAGAACACTTCATCTCATCCACATCTGACCCAAACCTTAAGGAAGACAAAGTATGATCTACCTTTTTCCCCCCCCCCAAGCTATTGTTAATTAAAAGTA